CGCAACTTCACTGAAAAGTTTTTCCTCTGTAGGGCGAAAAAAATGTGTATTTGAATTCACTTATTGTTTAATTCTCTGATGACTTCCTGGAAATATGCAAGCATTTGGAAACTGGCCATATCAGAACTTTTCTGAAATCAAGCGTTCTTGTTTTCGTAATTTCACTTTCGTGTCTCTAGTAAACAACAGTTGTTGCCTATTTACTTCCTGGAATATTTTTTCTACACCTCGGCTGCAGGGGACCCAATGAAAATGTTGCTTAGTTATTTCTTGAAAAAATAAAATTTTCTTTGTTAAATAAGTACAAATGTCTACGCTTTGCGTTAAATAATGATGAATGTTTTCATAATAAATGCTTTTAAGTCGCATAATTTGACTTTGTTACTTTAACCAACTCGTTTTAAACATTAGATTTTATGTTCTATATATCCAGTTTCTGTGAAGTAATTCTCAAACTAGTAGTTAACTTATAAATTTACCGTAAAAGTTGTTTCACACGTTAAAGTGAAATTTGAAGGCATCTAATTGCCTGCACGTTTTTGTACTTATATTTATATGTTGTGTTTTAAATGTGTTCTAATAAGCATTTTTAAAAGTTTAACTCTTCAGATGGGCAAATGACTCTGGTTTTCACACTAGAGATCATACAACTTTGACGAACTAAATAGCGTAACGAAGCAAATTATTGGGAATTCATCAGACCTTGTCCTGGGCATCAGAGTAACATTCGGGTTCCTAATGAATCTCGATTTTAGCAAATTTTAACATAAGGTATTTCTTCCGTCTTCTTAGCATGCTTTAGTGCATGCTTAGTATGCTTTCAGAAAGCATGCTAAGCATGCACTAAATATGCACTAAAGTTTTTTCTTCTTGCCAACCCTTTGTTAATGAGCGGGAGCAATTGGCAGTAAAGTGATGTTGCTCGAAGTCTCCGAAAATTAATTATGTGTCATGAGTTACTTAAAAGTACTTATGAAAATTGTATGTCGCCAACATGAGTTTTCGTAACTCGAGACGTCTTTCGCCATCTGAGATACTTTTTGTTCAGATAATTTATTTGTGAACTGTTCCAACTGTGATAAATAAAACAGACAACTCAAGACAGTTCTATTTGTATAAGTATGAATAATGCCCTTCAATACGGTACAGTGTGAATTTTAAAGGGATTACTAACACGCAATCTGAGAATTAATTTGTTTCACCGGATGAGATAGAAAGAAATAGTATTTTAAGGAAAGTTTTAGGTTGTTTAGTCGGACTATGCTCCTCCTGGTGAAGGCCATGTTATTAGTTGCAATTACATTATAGCAATTTGTCTTCAGCGTTGCGTTATTCTTGCAACTAGTGCTTTTTATGCTTGTATAGATTTCAGCTAAATTGCCTGTTATTTATATATGTTTAGCCTTTGGTTAATTTACGGCTTAACTTAGTTTTAATTTCAATTCATTACTTTTGAATTTCGCCTAAAATCTGGCTCGTTTTGTAAGCACAAAATGTGCCTCATGTTAACCTAATTGAGGTTTTAATAATAAGGTCGATTGCAGATTCCTTACATTCTGTGTCTTCTTACTGGACATAGCGATATGTCGCTTAAAATCCAGCTTGCGTTTAGATTTAGTTTATGCTTTCCAAGACTGTGAGACTCTATGCTTTTCAAGACTGTTATTTAATGCGATACCATACATTCATTTAGCTTTTCCTTGCGATTTTAACAGTTTGATAAAGCTTTAAAATTCGTTGACAGGTGAGCATTATTCTTAAAACCACTTTTTTTCGTTGGTGGGGTACCTAAGACATTTCTACAACGGAGTTTCCTAATTTTAATCTCTCGTGCTCGAGTATATAAAAGACGTGTGTATGATTATTACATGGCGCGTTCGGAAGCAAGCTATGCATTCAGTTAATGAATTGTTTAAATTTAAAAAATCCGTTAAATTCACATAAAGAATGAAAAATTATAAAATATATTTAAAATTTGGGTTTCGAGGTTTCTTGTAGGGTGCAGGCATAATCAAAATCTAGTACTTCTAGGCGTCACCATTTTTGCACAGTGTGACAATGTTACACATTCCTTTATCAGTTTATTACTACATAATGCATGTTTTGTTTCCTTTAAAAATGCACTGTCCTCTTGTTGTCAATTTAACTGTTTTAATCTCTTTGGGAACTGGTGAAAAAAGGTTATCCTACGAGTAACAATTTAAAAATTCTAAAACACTTAAACTAAGAAAATTCTCATAATTACACTGCCTTTAATTTTAGCTCAGAAATTCATGGAAAACTGGACATAAAATTTTGTATAATGGAACCTTTTATGATAGTCTCTGAAGTAAAAGCCCACTACAGCGCATAGAATCTTCTGATGTATGCCATAATTATCTTTTCATAAAATGCTACATGCCAGTCAATAATAACGTGCTACAAAGATTAATGAATGCTTTTTAATTAATCATGCAGTTTCAGGAAACGCGTCAGAAGTATGTTTTAAGACTAGTTTATTTTAACCAAAGCCTTTGCACAATCGATCCAGTATTTCATAGAGCTTTAAATATGTTCATTTGTTATAGTGATAAAACATAAATATCTTTAGCTGCTGTTTTTTGGGGTTTTAGTTTACTTAAGGTCTTTTAACAAACTACGTATAATTAAAAATGATTCTTACTAAAGTTAAAAGTTTCATACTTCATCTTGTTATTTGTATGCAAAAGGTAGTAAGTTTTACGGAAGCTCGAATCATGTGTCATGTATTTTGCAAAGATTTGTTACCACGCGTTTACATTCAGCTTTAGGAAATCCGGCACTATTTTTTTTTAAATTTATAATATTATTTTCAGTTGTTTAAAGCCATAGCAGTGAGGGTAAATTTTGTGGTTAGCTTTTTAATCAAAAGTCGAGAAAATAATGCGCTTTTCTAAACATTTCCAAGTGAATTAGAATAATAGATTTCTATGATAAATTATTCCGTCTGTTGAAATGTCGTAAAAATTATCTTAACAGAAATACTGTTAAATTTTCAAATTATGTGGGACATGTAGCCTAACTGGATGCCTTGAGTTGTCAAAGTATAACGTATTTCTCCCGATCTCCTAACGTGCCTTCGTGGTGTAGTGGTTCTGCACGCTGGGCCGTATTCAAGAGGTCAGTAGTTCAATTCCCGGCGAAGGCGACTGCTCATTTTTCATCTTGCCTGCTTCCAAAAAAAAAAATACCTAATGTCTCTACAAAAGGAAATAATATTCGAAGTAAATTTACCCAAATTATATTTTTTATGATGAATTTAACAAGCACTCATAGTTTCGATGAATGATGATATTGTAGAATTTAAGAAATTTAAAACGTAATTTAAATGAACCATTTTACATTAATTTTTGAAATAAAATTTTAAAATAATAATTTTAATTTTTTCCAGTTGTGAATGAGCATTTGGACATAAGAGCTGATAACAATGACTTCTTAAATGATAAACAAAATAATAAACTGATTTGGCGCGAGTCTTTCATCAACTGTTTCTTAACCGTAAAACAAATTGTATTTGAAAAAAAAATGTATTCAAATTTACAAATTGTATTTAAAATATAGAAATTTTGACATTTTAAAATCCAACTGAGATCTGTGTGATTAACGCTAATAAAATATCAGTCACGATTTTGTTTACTGTCTAAAGTTTTATTGTGTGTAAATTGATATTTACAAATGAAGAAAAAGGTTCATAAACCCTTTTAGAATTTTATTGAAATGAATTTAGTCTGGTTCAGATAATCTACCATAATTTTAATTTAGACTTAAATTCAACGTTATAGTTTTGTTAATTTTTCAGTATGTAATAGTAATTAAATAATGAAAACATTTTAGATTATCTCAATATATTATAAATTACTTAATTTCACTTATGTTTATTACTATTTTTATAATATAAATGCAAAAACAATTTACTGATCTTTAAATAGTATATGGAACAAAATAACACATGGGGAATTGTAGTCACTTTTTCCCTAAATTAAGATGATGCTTTAAGGAGCTATCACATATCTCCACTCGGGCTCTCAAGGTGTAAGTTATTGTAGCAAATGTAGCTGGCAATTTAGAAATCCATAGTTCGAATTTCAACGAATGAACAATTTTATCACATTTTCTAGTTTCTAAAAACTTTATAATATCTACAATAGCAATCAAACAGTAATATGATACGATAATTTGTCATCATATGAATACTAACTCTTTAATATGCGAAAAGCGTAAAGATCGTCGTCTCCCTGCGTGTTCTTATGGTGGAAGTAGTTCCACTTACCGACAAGTGGAACATCCGTAATTTTTATCTCGACGACATCGGGCTGATTTATCACATTCACTGACTTTGAAAAAGTTTAAACAATCTCTATAACGTGAAACATAGCAATTTCTTAAGCATGCATAGGAAATTGCATCTATAATTATGAAGCATTATTAATTAATCACTTTTTCATGATGTACACTCATGTGTTTTCACAGTAAATAGATAGAAAATTCTGTTTTGCTCTTCCCTTTGGAGAAGAATTCTTCCGTTTAAATATTTGATAGTCATCAACCAGTTCAGCTCGTATTCCAGTTACGCACAGCGGTAGGCGCAAATGAACAGCTCGCATTAGAAATTTACGACTCATAGATATCGCGCGTGTTTAAGGAAGAAAGAATTGTTTAATCTCGAAACCGATGAAGGCAATTAAGTAGACACTTTTTATAAAAAAGTAGAATTTTGTTTTAATTTTCTTACATGTACTAAATTCGTAAACTAGTAGCTTGTTTTTCATATTACTAACGATATTACTAATATTAGTTTATATATCGATATAGTTAACTGATACTTAAACTAATATTATGTACATTAATAATGTACTTCAAGTTTACAGTTAATTTTAAATTTAATGAGATCACAAGAGTATTTTATTTGCGTATAGAAATAAATTTATTTCAGTTAGATGCTATTTTATTTCATATTCATGTTATGGGAACTAATATTTTAGGTCAATGAAAGAACTGACACTGTTTGTGGATGATGAAAAGAAAACAATAAAGCTGAAAGACAGATGGCCATTAGACTTCAAAAATGGAAATTTCTTTTTTTCAGGTAAGTTTCATTGCTGTTATATGAGAAATTTCAAATTAAGATGTGATTATTAAAAGTTACGTAGCGTACTGGGAAATTAATTAAATAGTGAAGAGTAGTAATTAAATGAAAATTTATCAAGAAAGAGGACAGACCGCTAATGTGAAATAAACATATCAAAATTAAAACAAAAACATTTCAAAATTGAAATAAAAACAGTTCAATAAAATTAATAAAAGTGATATAAAATATGAAAAAATGGTTGAAAATTCCTTAGTCTTTATCAAGGAGTATCCTAAGAATTTTCAAGTGAGCCACGTTTCTGAGTTGTATCTAAATGATTGTTAATACTGGAAACATTTCAAACTTAAAAGTAAAAGAAAATGCCAGCTAAGCTAATTTAATAAAATTAAAAATAATTAAAGTGCTTTAAAGTCCAAGAAGGCAATTCTTTTTTAGTTTCTAATAATTTAATTAATTATCAAAATATAACTTGTTCTGAGGTGACACCAAAATATAATAAACACTTTAGAAAGATTATAAAAAGAAAGAATAATCATTTGGTAAATAAAAAACAATCTGCTAAATATTAATTAAAATGTTATTACATTCCCAACAAAAAAATCAAAATAATTATTGAGTAAATCAAAAGTAATATGCTAAACAAATATTAACAAAAGGATCGTAAAAAGATTTAACCTCCGATAAATTTATCGAAAAACAAAAGTAAAATATTTTTAAGCCGAAATTACAAGAAATCGGATGCATTTAGAGTAAATTTATATAACTTTTAGAGTTAAACAAGAAAGAATTTTAAAAATTAATAAATGCTGAATAATTTCAAAATTGGACAGAAAAAGTCATGTAAAAATGGAAGGCTTATTACCTAAAAAAAGAAAAAAATAATAGCATTTATATACCTAAAACAGGGAAAAAATAAATAAAACTGAATTAATAAATTAATATTGATCGAATGAGATGCATTCCGCAAGAGAAGAAGAGGAAGGAGGACCTTGTTTGTTTACATTAGCTATACATAAGTCATGTGATCTCTGACATCATCTATATTGTTTGTTTACATTAGCTATACACAAGCCATGGGATATGAGGTCATCGGAATGTATCTCATTAGAAAATAAAAAGGACAAAAAACTGAGTAAGCAAACCATACTCATGGCTATTTTATCAAGGGAGCCAAAGAAAGAGTGGAAATATGCAATTGATATATGTTGATGCATCAATTTTTACATTGTTTCATAGATATGGATGAATAAATACAAAGTAAAAAGCAGTTCAAAACCTAACCCAATTGCGCACTGAAAGCAGCAGCAGCAAACTGACAATGCAGAGAAAGATGTAAATTTACTTCTTTCCTTTTCCATTTTTGTTTTTACCTTTTTTTGCGCCTTCCACGTTGTTTGCCACTGTGTTTCTGGTTTTCTGATATTTGCACTTCATTTGCTGTAATTGAATATTGAATGAATTTTAGAAATATTATTTTAATTTATTTTATACACACACATATATATATACATATAACTTTATTCTCTTGGTGCGTAGACAGCTATCTGCATTATTAAGTAAATACCATCAGTATATCTACCATCATAGCATCATCACGGCCATCAAACACATCTAAGTCTTGCTTACAAGGCAATTTAAGATCTAACTTTAAACTCTCAATTTCTCAAATATCTACTCAAATGAATCAAATGAATCATATGAATCTACTCACATGAAAAACATAATAGTAGAATAATTAGTTGCTAATATTATATAGATAAAGAGTTAAAGTATTATAAAAAATAACGAGATTTGGCAATACAACGCTACTAGGTAACATTCAAGACACCTAAAACTTCAGTTTGGAGGAGAATTTGAAAAGCACTAAAAGTGACAGAGAACTATAAAACAAAATGTGAAGGGAACACTAGTGAAAGATATTTTAATTGGATTGCCAACAGACGGTAATTTAAAACAGCACGTTAAACAGAGCTGATGAAAATTCTGTCTTTGAAAAATTAAGTCTGAATACAAGAAATTTCAGAAATGATTTTGCTGTGGAAAAATGTCTCATACTGCAGTTATTTTAACGCAATGAAGATAGTACAGATTTTACTTGATAATAAATGCCTATTATAGATTAATAATAATAATATAATTGAATGTATAGTATAGATGAAGTGCATTAAAGAATGATGAAAATAGTAATATACTTTACGCCAATTGCAAATACCGAAATAAATCAAATTATAAGTGTAGATCTGCAGAGCTGCCGGTGGTCAAGAGTTAAAAACCACTGACCACATGTAGCTTTAAATGGATTGAAAACCCAGTGAGTAGACGGGCCGAAGAAAATTTAACAGTTTTTCCCACAAGTGAATGCATATTGTCTACCTTTAAAAGTTTTTTAAGTACATTTTTGTGGCATCTTTTAGATCTCTTTTCCCAAAAAATAGAAATATTGTAAATTTTTCACATGCCTAAATTTATTTAGACGCATTGCAAGCTACATTTTTTTTCATCTGAATTCAATAGCCTTTTTCTCAAAGCGGGGAATTTACTCTATTTTTTCCCTAAATTGCCAGTTCCTGAAAGTGCAGATTACAATTTTACTGAAAAACTAAGAAAGTTATTTCGATAAAAGAATTGAAATTATTGGAAATAAAGCAATACACAAAATAGGTACACTGCGAAAAAAAGGGACTATTCTATATCTCCCGTTCTTGAGTGACGAAATTCAAATTGCTTTTTTCATGTCTCAAAAGCGCGACTTAGGATATGAATTAGATTTATATATGACATTCTTCTAATATAGGTATTTTGACACAAAGTCAGATTTTTTCTGAAATGATTTGCCCTCATTTTTCCATATTTTGATTCTACTGCTGAAATTATGCCAAACTGCCAAATGTAAAAATCGCGCGAATAGTTTTTAAAAAATTAGCTCACAAAATGTTAGCTCCTCAGTGTTAATTGAATTTCATATATATTTATTAATATTTCTTTCTTTATTTAAACTTACTTGATTCCTTTTCCCAGAGTTCGAAATTTAGTAATTTAATGCAAATATAATTCCCACATTTTTTATGATTTATTTTTTTAATTTGTATTTTAAATATATTTTATAATTTTTTTCGAATTTTTTTAATTATAACCTATAAAATTTTTTAAATCATTAAAAAGTATATGTATTTCTAGGCACACCTGCAAAAAATTAGAGTTTTTATTCAAACGTTTCTTAGATATACAGGAATTTACATATTGACGCGTTTTTAAATGTGTCTTTTTTTTTAGGCGATAATAACACCAAATGTTGTTTACGCACTTTGTTAAAATTATTTGAAAGTATGAATGATGACTTTTTTCCGCTCGTCTTCAAGGCAAAAAAGGAAAGGAAACTAGATTACTGTAAATTAAGAAGTTGGTTACGTAAATTATTCTTGGCGCAAACTGAAAAACATTGACCAAGACAAATTTTTGAATTTCTTTGTAAATTTTGCACCAAAGCTTACAAAATTTAATATTTAGGCATAATTTGAGTCTTAGGATCGAAATATGCAAAGCGATTGGCATGTCATGTCAGAAACGTCCGATTTTGTATCAAAATACCTGCGTTAGAGCAATGCTATGCATAAATCTAATACATATTCTAAGTTGCGCTTACGAGACATGAAAAACGCAATTTGAATTTCGTCAATAGGCCCAGTAGATTAGGAGATATATAACTGCCTCATTTGTTTTCCGCGCAGTGCACAAATGATGTGTCCTCATTTAGAAGTAAATAGTACTAAAAATTTCCTAAATAAATGTGAATCAGAAACTGAAAATTTACAAGTATATTTTAGTGATAAAGCGCTCTTTAAAAAAGGTCATGAAATTCGGAACTTTCATAAGTCGCCGAAAATGATATATTTGAGATGAAAATGCGCTGAAATGATGCATGTTAATGTTCAAAATCCTTACTTAATTTATTTAAATAGAAATTTGTATTGCGAGCATACAAATTGAATATTCAAATTTAAAACCAAGAAATTTATTTTTTAATTATTTCTAATTAAACATTAGATCTTAGAAAAATTGTATGTATCCATAATTCATTAATATCATATATATAAATCGTATATATAAATCGTGTTAAAAATAAATCATGAAAATCATATTTTCCTCTTAGAAAGAACCTGTATAACTTCACAGACAGAAAATATTAGAAAAATGCTGCTTGAATATCATATAATTATAAACGAAAGGCTAGACACGATTTCACTAATTGATCACAAACGGGAATAAAATTGATCATAATAGTTAAGAAAACGTTTTCTTTGTATTTACTAGTATGTTTTCCCTCTAAATAGACATATATCTAAATTTTGATGTAATCAATAAAATAAAATAATATTTTAAAACTTTTGATTTCTTAAAGAATAGGTTTTTTTCTAATATGTGCGTTGTGGTTATTTCCCGATTTCTTAAAGAGAGGGTATTAAACATTTTGAAACACAGAAAATTAAAAACTAAAGCCACCTAAGTGCGTCTTAATAACAAATAAAAATAAAGAAGAAATTCTTAAAACAAAAACATTATCTTACATTTTAAGCATTCTCCAAATTTGGCTTGGAACATAAACTTTCGATTCAGGCAAAACGTCTAATTTCGGCTTACCAAGAAGGAAATATAAAAAATAACATATACCTCATTTAAAAAAAATTACTAATCCAGTGCTTAAATCAAACGTGTTATATTTTTTAAAAATTTTAGAAAATATTCAATTTGTCTTTCGAAAATTTCTGACAAATGAAATTCTACTATATATTAAATATTAAATATATTACTATATATTAATAGTAATATAGGAATATATACTATATATACTATATTATTATATAATATTATAAATAATATATAATATATTAATTATATATATAATATAGATATTATTATATTAATACATTACTATATATTAAATATTAAAACTATACTCTATTCTAAACTCTTTATAAAACGTACATTCTCAGCACCTACTATTTTCATACATTATGTTGTTCATTTTCAAAATTTGTAATGATCTTCTTAAGTATTTACTTACTTATTTATGTTTCATTTACTTACATATTTATATAAGTGTTATGTATTTATATATTTAATTTTTTTTTTAATTTTTATTATATAATTCTCAGATTTCTAATACTATATTGACTTCATATATAACAACATTGCATTTAGGCATTTATCTAATTCTAAATTTTTAATTTTTATTTATTGTATCTGTTTATTTTATTTATTGTATTATTTATTTCTTGATATTAATTTTTATTATGTAATTATCAAAATTCTAAAATGTTATTGTATTTTATATATAATAGCACAGCTGGTAGATGATTCTATCAGTTTAGCATAAAAGCTGAATGTCTTAAAGGCGGTGCAGCTGCCCATCAGATGGTAAATAAATAAATAAATGTATATTAAATATTTTCAGTCGTAAGCAAAATACACATTAACTTCTATTTGCAGAGTTATCGAAATTATTCTGTAAAAGCAACTGTATACATTTATTTAATAAGAAAAAGATTTTTTTTAATTAAATCAAACCTAAGTACTCCATTCAAGCTAATTTCCAGACGAATAAGTTTACTTATCTATACAATGCATTTCAATGTTTGTTTATTTTATTCCAAGGCAAGTTTTCTTATCAGAAGAATTTACTTAAATCAACAGCATATAATATTATTTGAATTTATGCCAATCTCCCCGTTTAGATCGCACTTTTCAATTACGTTTAATACAGTTCCCGTGAACATTGAATTGAATAAAAGTTAAGAATACGTTAATTATTTATCATATAATTCGGATATCTACTGCATTGATATCAGAATTGAAGTAAAAATTAGATATAATCTACATTTTAGAAATCCTTTGAAATTGAATTAAGCTTCTTGGGATTACCTTTTGAAATTAAGCTTTATAATATAATAGCTGAAGTAGTATTTTTTGGTAGGATATCTTTCAGTGGAATATTAAAGGGCCATTAATGTTTAATTCATCATTTCAGATGAAATAATAATCCAGATGAGTATGTGGTTATTCTCTTTGTTAATTTAATGATGGGTTATTTTGAGATGTGGTTTTTGAGTATTTATGTACGGGTATCTTCACGGTTCATGCATTATAAAGACTATAGCTAAGAGTAAGAAAAAGGTGTTTCGTAGGAAATCCAGTGTAAACATTTTGCTTTTCCTCGGTCCCAGTTCGTAACAATACTGGTAGTACTGAATTATTTTTCATCGCTATATTTTGATGACTGAATTTGGATTACATTTCTGATGACTCTACTCAACATTTTATTTCCGATCACGTGTTTTTGTATGGCATTTTCTTGGAAATATTTCCTTCGGGTTGTTTTACAAAATTCATTTTTACATTTTAACTGACTTATTTCTTTTACATTGATCTTAATTTTCAAAGTTGTACTTACAAGAATTGATTTTCCTCAAAAGTCCCGCGATGATGCGTAAAGCAGTTGATTTACCACTGTAAGGAAAGAAAAGAATAAAAGAACACTCAATCATAGTTGTTATTTTAGGAAATAAGTATTCTTCCCGTTCTTTGCGCTTTTTCTTCGCGCTTATGCCATATACAATTCAGCAGCAAAATTAAAAAAATTTCAAAGCAGCATATGTTTAGAATTCCCAATGCAATGTTAAGTGTTGGCATAATTTTTCTATTTTGTTCGATATTTTCTCAGTTCAGTGCTCAGTTTTCTGAGGAAGATGGCTTGCAAAACTTTTTTGTCTTTTTATTAATAACTATTATGTCTTAAAGCACTTAAGCCATATAAAATTCAATTCAACAATAAAAACACATAATGTTTAAAAACAGAATATCTTTAGAATTTTCGATACACAATCATTATTCCAATTGTGTGAATGATGTTTTTAACAACAATTTACATCTTTCATGTGTTAGTTATATACGTTATCATACAGCACGTTCTGATGTTAAAATGAAATTACTGAGTACCTGTATCATTCCTAAAGCGATTTTGGGATGAAAACTCTGCTTATTTCACAGGTAACAAATGTTTAGATTAATTCACTTATTTCATTGTGCAGCATATAGGTAAATACGTCTTCCAAAGAGAAAAAAACTACCTGAGTAATTTACATTTTTAACAATTATTTTAAATTCTGTAACAATCTATTTATCTTAGAGTTGATGTTGGATAAACTAAAATGTTGGATAACACTAAATTAGATAAATACTTAAATTTATTTTTAAGATAAAAAATAAGCATTGGGAAATAAGTGATCGATTTAAAAAGAGCATTGTACTTCTTATTAACTAATATCCTATTCTTATCTTTACTATCACAGTTAATAAACATATTTTATAACGCATCTTACTCATATCATTTATAATATGGCTAACTGATAATTTTTATAAAATTTACAGCGTTATGCAATTATTGACAGATGTTTCTAGCACCATGCACGAGAGTTACTTTGACATTTTTGAGATACAGCTAAATAGTACTTAGCAAATCTTAAATAAGTTCAGTGTAATCCCTTCCAATATCAATGCATTTCTGTGGCAAATTTTGATTAGATGTTTCAAAGTAACCCTTTACAGCTTCATTACCTCTTATGAAAACGACGACTAGCTAAATTTTCTTTTTCATTTAAAAGTAACGAAAATGCGCCCGTTGCAAAATCAGGAGAACAAGATGGATGTTCTGTCATTTGATCGCTATCGATGTCTTTTTGTTCAAGAAATTCGGTTGTCAGTCTTGTGATATCAGAAATGTGTTATCATAGTGAAGCATGAATCCCCTAATACTCACTTTTTCAAGATACATTTCTGGTTTCTTGATAAGTTTTAGTGTCGTATGAGTTAGCTGTAACTAACTGACTTCTGTACCTCTAACTTGATGGTCTTGACTAGTCTTGTAGTTCTGAAGAAAACGGCATGCATTTCATTTTTATATTCGTTATCTTTTCATCATTGTTGTTTAGAGGTCATCTTCAATCACCATACTTTACTTTCTGGATGTCTTGTAAGAGTATGTTTAAACACGGTACGTACGTTTTATCGCATGAAAATAGTTTTAGGGTTTCTTTGCTGAAACGATAGCTGCTGATCTATTGTTAAGTTCCTTCTGTATCATTTTGTAGGTAACAAGATTATTTATGATTAATATTTTTGATATGTCCAACATATTTTTCTGCGACTGTAGCTGACAAAGCTCTTCCTGTATGTTCTTCATCCCAGAGAAAATTTCGATCTCTACGAAATTCTGAAAATTACCTGAATATGGTTGGCACCATATGGAGCTTCATTTCTTTGTCCTAGTTGTAGATGTTAAAGTTATTCTTCTTGAGTTTTATCCACATTATAATTATACGTAATCATAGCGCGATCATGCTTTTGCGTCAGCTCCATCTTTTCTTTCAAAATTTAATATAAGTTAGGTAAATTGCAGTTTTTGCCATAAATTATCTTCTGCGGACATAAAAAAGTTCAAATTTGCATACCTAACATATAATTGTTTATTAGCGTATATTGTCTCCTTTTCTCAAACTTTCGAAGTTACCTACTTAGTATGGATATTCTTGCAGAATTATTTTTTGCGTATCGCTAAAAACAATTTATTAATTTTGAAATCTTGTTAATCCATTGAAACTAGAGTATAATATTGTTTTATTTCTTGAATCGATGAGTAACAATTAATCATGGTTTCTTTTCCAGTAAGTCGCAATCGCTTACACCCAGACAAAAGCTCAACAAAGAATATAACGGACATATTTCAGGGATGCATTAAAGAAATGCAGTTAAATGGAATTTCCTTGAAACTTGTTGGCTTTCTGCCTGAACAGTTTCTTTGTGATCCCTCTTGATGACCATGAGATTGCGCCAGTAGCAGCAGAAGAGACTGATTTTTTTTTTTTTTTTTTTTTTTTTTTTTTTTTTTTGTGCATATCAAGGTCTGAAGCTCAGTAATAAAATATGGACTTCCAACGCTACATATCAAGAACGCTGCGTCAAGAAATGCATAATCAGGTTTTAATGTAAAACGAATGCATTATGAATGCACTCTAAACTAAATATCTAAAGTGGTGCTGTAACTGGAAGTTTTTACTTAAATTTTTATTAGCTTTTATTTCATATAGACTTTAAAAAGTGTACAGAAATCGAGTAAAGATACTAGAACATCTTTACGAGGAAATCATCTGTGTATATTTACTTCCAAAAGGAAGTACAGCAATCTGAACAGAAGTATCTTTACGTCAGGTTGTAGAACATAGGTTTTACAAGTGATATAGAGCGAGATATAAGAAAAAATTTACTAGTTGATAAACATGATTTATGCGTTCATAAATCAATAAAAATTAACACCATCTAAAGTTAAGTTTGCAATTTTAATTCCAATTTTCTTAATATAAAGTTTTGCTTCATATTTAATGTATAAGATATCTCGTCGGAATATATAACATTTTGTGTCATACGTAAATAGTATAAAAATAATAATACGGCCTCGATTATCCAAATTTAGAGAGAACAGGATGAATTCATGTAATTGATTTGCTTGGATAATCACGTTTTCAATAAATAAATTATTTTGAACTGTGGATTTATTTCTCTTCCAAACGGTTAAAAAATGCAGTACCCGTAGCAAGTATCTGTAATTATCAGTTTTTCATCACCTTATTCCGCAACTTGTTGCTTCATAATTTTTTAAATGATGATCTTTGATCAGCCTTTTTGTGAAAACAAAATTCTCTTGTATTTTAGATAATTATACACTCATATAATATATTTTTGGCAGGGTCCAAACTCTGAGTCAGACTTAATTAAAGAAACATAAATGGAAGAAGAGACGGAACAGAAAAGGAGAATCCAGAGATTAGCGATTATAAGTCTCGTAGATCTAAGAACCTAATTAAATAATCATACTTAACTACTAATGATCTTATTAAATACCTAATTGAATTGTTAACTGCTTAATTCACAGCTTAATTAATTTATAAGCAATTAAAAATTTAATTAATAACGAAAGATCTGAAGACTTAGAAAGAGTTAGTTCATCTTAGCTATGTCTTGCTTCCAGGATTTCCTAGAATATTTATGACACCTTTTCAAAAATTTTTAATGAATCGATGTGAATCAATATTTCATAAATCTATATGAGTAAATGATCTTTAAGATAATCGAGGCTGTACTTCTCTGCATGTTATATTTTTGCTTGAAACATTATGTTACGTTTTCAGAGCATAGAAATAAAGCTTCTATTTTGATGAACAGGGATTGTGATTGGTCTTCGTTTTCATTAATTCAATAGATGTTTCATCAGTTCATTGCTACATAATGGATACTATTAAAAGCAAATAATCTTCTTCCGTTTCCTGCTCAATAGTAATGTTTCTTTCAAATAATGGATATGTATTAAAAGCAGTCTTTTAAACAAGATTCTGTGTTTTGTTCTAATGTTTTCTAATTAATTATAGATGTATCCAAGATGCATTTTTACATTTTTTATTGTAAGTTGCCTCAAGCATTACTGTTTTTAATTTAATTTTATTTATTTATTTAATTTTGTTAAAAATAAAATAATTTTCTTAAAATCTGTATCAGAAGCTACATTTTGTAATTATAAACTGTGGTATAATTGTGAATAAAATTTTTTTTAAATACTATAACTGCTATTTATTGACAGTCATAAAGAAAATATACTTTTATAAACTTCTGAGACCGAGCAACTTAGATTTATATTAATAATTATGTCGGTATGGTTTACTTTAGTCACAAAATTTGTTGCTGTGTTAAAAGTCAATAGATGGCCAAAAGGCTTCCACATTAACGGAATTATCATTTATAAGGTTTATTTTATTTTAAAATTATCAACTATACAATTTATGGTCATAATGAAATGAGTATTGTTTATGAGAAATAAATAAATATCTTCTATGTAAAGTAACAAGATAAAAGCATAGGTACAGCAGAAAACCTGATATTAGTATTATATACAGTATTCTTCTCCATACTTAGCCAATCAGAAATAGGATAGTTTCGTTTAATCTTGACTAATGGCGAAAAAATTTCTTATCGAGCATCGACAATAATAAACCAGTTTATCTTTTAACTCCTTATAAATAATATAGCTTTATAGAAGTATTTATGCAAATCAGTTGATGTCAATAATTGTCAGTAATAAGGGCTATGTCCAATGTGTGGTACAATGAGACAAATGGTACAAAATGTATATAGCAAAATCAAAGTAGCTATTTAATTCTTTTTCTCTTGTATTTTGTTCTAAATAAACAGCAATTATGTACCTGGTTGTAACCGAAGTTGTACCCCTGGCAGGCGCTGTTTATCATTCATTAGTAGTTTTCGCTATTTCCAAATAGAAAATTTTAACTTCGTCACGAAAAGTGAAAAATTATCAACCATTAATACTACCTTACGGAGTAAAAAACAATTGATATTGACAGTTTTTGAGGTACGTGCTTTTTATTTTAGTGCATATAACTAGATATTTAGGCTATTAACTTCATCAAGAAAGAACTCAAAATTCACATAGTAAATCCTGAGATTTTGCGGCCTAGAATTTATCCTAACAAATTCGACGCCAAGCTTTATAACATCATTTAAAAAATGTGTATAAGAGGCTGAATAAGTTTTATATTGCATATTTTAAAACTGTAGTATTTATAAGTAAGTGATATTCTGGCAATAAATTTATTAGATTTATAATCTTATGTTGTACATGGAGCATTTATACATGTTATTATACCAACACAAATTTCCTTTTTGATGTAAATTTTGATTCCGAACACAATTTCGAGCAAAGAAAAGTATAAGTCCGCTTCAGCAGTATTTGCGACTTACAGACTATGGATGGTGACTTATATGTAAGATAGGAGAATGTTGGATTTTGTTCCAAAATTATATGACCGTCGTTAAAACAAATTTTCTTCTAAAAAACATGTGTTACATTTACAGAGTGTCCAACAAAGGTGTCCCTGATTTCAAAATTAAAAATCTAGATGATTGATAAAGGAGTACAACAAATGCTGTATTTATTCTGAAAGTTGTAAGAATGTTATATGGAAGTTTCAAAATAATAATTACAAAAGTTCAACTGGCCCGTATACACGTTACACGGGAGGGAAACCCCAAAAGCGCCCAGGCCGTTCTCCTGGAATTGAACCCACATCGGAAATACCAGTGTTAAGGTATTTTGCCGCTGGTGGACAATATTCTGACTTAAAAGAAAAGAAAACATTCTGTGAAAGAAATGCAACAATGAAACAATACTTTTATCATAAATTATAAACCATCATTTTACAAGAAAAATTTCCTGCCTGTCAACCAGTTACAGTAATACTGTCTTATAAGTTACGCCCTATTAACACTAGCTATCAAAAATGAAAAGTTTTATGACAAATAATGTGCTTAAAAAATATACAGTGTGCATCAAACAGTTTAGTTCATTCTTCATATAACACATTGCTTCAGCGATTTTCGGAGCAAAGCAAGTAAGTAAGTGTATCTAGATGGATATAATTTTAGTTTGTTTATTTCATTACAGTAAAGTAAAGTACAGAGCTGTCTGCCTAAAAGGATAGTTGCCTTTGTATAGAATCTTTTAAAGTAAATCTGCTGATAGTCACATTCATTACACATGGGAAAAACTACGAAAGCGCCGTGCAACCAGATCGAACTACCAGTGTTCAGTGAGTTTGCCGTTCAGTAACTGGTGAACCTAGCTGAGAATCACATGCGGTACACTGTGTAATTTACGATTTACGATAATATATTTAGGATGATGAAAATAGCCTAGAATTGCGCCTCATACTTTATTGGATTGGCGTAATTGACTGAATTGATGGAACAACCATATAAGGCGCCTTTTAAGCAGATATTCACAATACTTGAATTTCACCCAACATTTAGCATCAGTATTTGTCTGCATAATAATTTGAAGAACACAGTATTTAATTTAATTAATTATTTGGTTTATCGTTTGATAGTATTAATTATCTTTAGATAGTTTATTCTTAACAATCTGCCTATGGCATTATATGAAGTCTGCAAGAATTAATGGGTTTATTAGTTAGCTAAATTGGATATCTCGGGACAGATTCGTATTTTACATAACATGAATGTCAAAACAGAGAAGTATTTACTCACAATACACCTAAGATTTAATGTTTTTAATATTTTCATATTTGTCCTTTTTTTAAATTTTCAAATTATTCTATCAAATTATTCAAATTATTCTATTTATTAAAAGCAAATTCGTACTTAAGCAAAACCGCGCTATTCAAATCCGAGTAATTTAAGTATTAACTCTGCTTTTTATGACTAAACAACGATGAAAAAAGAAAAGTACTCAATAAGTCCATATGGAACTTTTAAATGATTTCCCATACTTAACAGTAGCATAGGCTTAACAGCAATCTAACAAAATAATTAAATTTATATACTGTACACATTAATATAAATGAATTTAATGGCTTATTAGGAACATAAAATTATAATGTCAGTTTTAAAACGAAGAAAAACCGTTAATTCTTCACCATAAATATATAAACAAGCCAAATTTTGATTAGCTTAGAAACGAGAAGATGCAATGTGGGACACAGGGAAATGCAGATATTTGGAGAAACGAAAAAATGCAGTCCAGATAAAAAGAAAATACCAGAAATAAAGAAAACTTTTAGGAGCTAAAAAATTGGAGTTCTGATGTAAAAATATACAGGCAGACTATTAACAAATGAAAGAAGAATTTGAACTTTAGGAATAAAGTTTGCAAAAGCTATTATAATTACTAATGAACGCAGCTTATTGCAGAAAATTTCTAACGATGCAGTTTGAAATTCGTTACTGAAACCTGGTTTTCTGGCAAAAATTTACTTGCAAAGTCATAATTCTATACGTAATTATGATTCCTTAAAGTATTTCATAATGATCTGTATAAACAGTCTGACTTTATTTATAAATTCTAAATATAATTTTTGAAAAGATAATGGTTAATTATCTTCAAGAATGTGTCCTTGCATGAAAATGAGAAAAATACATGAATTTTAATGTTTACTGGTTATATTAAGTCTCAGTTCGATATTAAAAATGCCCATGAATGCATTCACAGCAGTTTTAATAACGCATGTGTTTCTTGTGTATACTTCAGACTTCAATGCCAGGTCATTAAATGTAAAATTTCGTATGAACAAATAGATGCACACTTACGTACACACACACATATATCGAGAAACAGAGCTAGTGGACTTTCTTGCTAATGAACTGAAGAATTGTTCCATGCTGAATATGGGATCGATTAAAACGTTTTGTTTATATTTTGGAAAATTGCAACCAGTGCCGCCCATCCGATAAAGTGGTTAGTGGGTTACAACCGAAACATTGAGAACGAAAGCGTCTCAGAAAAAACAACGCAAAGCAAAAACGTCGTGGTACATAACATCGGAGAAGAAAATAAAGTAAAGAGAAAATATTGCAGTTCTAAAACATTGCGGAAGAAAATAAAGTGAAGAGAAAACATCGCAATTCTAAAACATCGTGGTACAAAATATCATTGTCGAAAATAAACTGGTTCAAAAACTTCGCAGTTTAAAAACATCGTCGTCGAAAATATTGTGGAAAAAAATAAAGTACCTGCAAATTATTGCATGATGATAACATCGCATACATGCGTTTTTCAGGCTTTCATAGTTGTAAATGGATATCCGCATAATGACTTGAGAGCACAAGATGGAAAGAAGGATAATTTTTGCTTTCATATTTTTAATAACTAATAAATTTATGAAACAAACAAGAAATTTAGACAAAAAAAGAAATAATTTTCACTATAAGTGCATCAAATTAACAAAAGTGAAGAAAATAATCTCATAATTAACTTAGCAATTTTTTATACTGTAAGGACCTGCAGCTACTTACCTTCCTTTTTTCTAATCTTTTATAGTTTATACTTTTCAGGAAAAATTATCGGTAAAACATTATTAAAAAATAATTTTTTAATGAGTTAGTTAACTATGTCAGTTTAAAGTTCTATTAAGTGCTATAAGTTGCATTAATTTTCTATGTTAAGTTCCCATTTTACGTTTTCAGCCAATAATTATTAGTTAATAAAAGATATGAAAGTAAAAATTATCCTTTTTCCCATTTTGCGCTCAAAAATCATTATGCGAGTATACTTTCACAGTTATTAAAGCATGAAAAATGCATGCCTGAGATGTTATTGGCATGCGATGATTTGTATTTCCTTTTTTTTACCACGATATTTTCGACGACGATGTTTTTAAACTGCGAAATATTTTAACCGCTTTACTTTCGACGACGATATTTTATATCACGATGCTTTAGAACTGCGATGTCTTTTCTTTGCTTTATTTCCTCCCACGACGTTTTTCCATAATAAAATGGGCACCAGTTCCAACCCTTGTCGTGGCGCAAGTGTAATATCTATTAGCGCCATTAAAAAAAACATTACGACATTATAAAAACATTGCAGCTATCAGCGCATACTTGGACTTGTTTTTGAACTTTGTTTTTGCTTTGCTTTTATCCATTATATATATATATATAT